TGTGAAAGCCTCTTGAATCTTCCTTGCCTTTCTTGTAATAATTGCTCCTTTGATATATGTAATTGGTCACAAATAGATTCGTATATTTGAGGCTACTAGCCGAGGCAATCAGTATATTAGTCCATATGCTTGGACTGATGACGGTATGGATTATACTCCATATTCTGCACAGGTATCTTTATGTGTAATGGAGATGCTTCGTCTTGTGTAACATTGTTGGATGCTCATAATTGAGGATCTCTTACTATTTTGTTGATAAGGTTAAATTTAAGACCCGGATGCAATGCCACCCCTTGCTGGAAGATCAGTTTAGGCCTATCATTTCTGACAATTATTACGAGTCAAAGCTTTTTTGGTTTGAACTGGACCAAAGGCAGACAGACAGGTTGATTGCTTTATTTTCATCTTCACCAATCTTGACGACTGTTTCCCCATTGAACAGAGCGAGCAGTTCATTGAAAACTTTCCAAACTATCAATGTAAGAGAAGACAGCACCAATAGTTCGGTATTTTCTTCAAACATAAGTGTTACTTGTCCAGATTCAAAGAAAAAGTGGAGCTCCTTGTTCAAAGTCTCTCCTACTGTTGCGAAAGAGGATATTGAATTTTGAGAAACCAACATCTGAATTGAATCTTTCTAGTTCAAATCCTTCTAGCTATGGGTGGGAGGAGCCTTCTTGTACATCGCGTTCTTCTGAAGAAGAAAGTAAGTCTTGTGAAGCTCCCACCAGTGGTTCTGGAAGACAGAGAAATTGAAGAACCTGAATTCTTCATATCAAGTAATGAAATAGACTCTTCCTATTTTGAAGTCAAAGTTGAAAGTGAAGAGTACAAGTCAATTGCTTTGGAGGTGAATCTTCCTTATTCAAACCTTAAAGATGTAGCAGAAAATATGGAAGGAAATGCTCTTTCTAAGGGTGATGAAGAGATATTGTTTGAGGACACTTATGATGAGGACGTTCGAATGCATTGGGAGAGAACAGCGAACAATTCTTTAGGAGCCAATATAGATGTGAATTTGAGTTCTGATCGTCAGCTTGTTACTCAGGTACTTGAGCACCCTTTTTATGACACTTCTTTGTTTTGATCCCCAGCGTATGTACCAGTCTGTGTTTTTTTACTCTGATATATTCTTCTTGGTTTTCAATTCACTAAAGTTATTAGCAGAAGTCAGAGAGCTGAAGTTGTTACACGATAAACAAGTTCAGAAAATCAATTTACTGCAGCAGGAGCTGGTAGGACTTATCTCCCATGATGATGCTTCTATGTTATTCACTTCTGTAATTGTATACTCTCTTTAAATTGGAGTTATGCTAATTTGTTTACGCCTCTTTCAAACTTAATCTTCATGATTTACTAGAGGCTGAATTATGTTGCAATACAGGCTGGATCAAAAATTGAAATTCAAAGTTTAAACAGCCGGTGTGAGATGTTAGAAAGTGATATGAATCCTAAGAAAAGCAGCATGGAAGGAAAAGAGCTTCAGTCAACTGAAGAGATTCATGCAAACCTTGAAGAATCTATATTGATAGTGGGAGGTTTTGATGGTTCTTGTTGGTTATCAACTATGAATTGCTATTATCCTTTCAGGGATATTATGGAATCTCTTCCTGCAATGAAATCTGTGCGTTCACATGCCTCAACAGCTAAGTTAGATGGTGAAATTTATGTTCTTGGTGGTGCCAATGGAAAAGTGTGGTATGATACAGGTATTTGTTTGAAGCTTTTTCAGTCATTTATTTATGTAGATTCTTTTAACCTATTTTAATGATATTGTAATTTTTCTTATACGTAGTTGAATCATATAACCTAGAAAATCATCAGTGGGTTAGTCGACCCTCATTGAATCGGGAGAAGGGAAGTTTGGCCGGTGTATCTTTAAATAATAAGATTTTTGCAATTGGTGGTGGAAATGGAGTTGAATGTTTCTCAGAAGTAGAAATGTTGGATTTAGATGCTGGAAGGTGGATCCAAACTCCATCGATGAGACATGAGGTATTTCCTTACAAATGTTTTTATAACTTCTGCGAAAAATAAGAACTGCTAGATAAGTGTTCTGTTAAGCAAAGAAATGGTGTTGTGAAATTCTTATCTTTTATTCTTTAATTAATTTGTGTAACTTGTAAGCTTTTATCAGAGATTATGGAGCCACTAGTGCTTCCATCTTTAACGACAAGTAACCATGTTATGGCATTTACTGTAGTTTTCTATATGAAGATTTTACCTTTTACTCTTCCTAGTTTTAGATTACAAAGTTTCAGAATTTTGTCTCGAGGCATGTTCTAACAGAAGTCTAATTTAACTAGAGATTTGCTCTTGCTGCTGGGGAACTTAATGGCATTCTCTATGCTGTGGGAGGATTTGATGGGAAGAACTACTTGCAGTAAGCCTACATTCATTTTAGTATTGGATATGCATATGCATTAATGAATTCTCTGCTTAATTACCATCTTCGCTTGAATTGACTTCATTTTGGCTGTGTAATTTTTCCTTTGAGATGCTTGCAGTTTCACTTGCTATTTATTGAATCGTGGATGTTTTGAGGCATCGCTTCTATTCTCCTTTGCTCGACACTGATAATAAAATTAAATTTTTCGTCTGGTATTCCAAAAGAGTACACAGCCAATGATAATAAGAGTTTATGGAGTAGAAATTGCTGGAATCCCGTGAGAATTTGAGTTTGACATGATATCTTCTTCCTTAGGTCAGTAGAAATATTGGACCCGCGGGAGAAATCGTGGAGAGAAATTGCGAGTATGTCTACAAAGAGGGGATGCCATTGTTTGGCTGTACTCAACGAAAAACTGTAAGCTTTCTTGTCCACTTTACTTCGCATTATAGGCATGTATAGTTTTTAAAAGTTAATTATCAGTATTAGAGGTGAAATATCGGATTCTTTTTTAAGATTACATATTTTAATAATATTTTTTAAAATATGTTACGTGCTTTTAGTGAAATTTTCTGAGTATAAAAATCATTTATTTTTAGGAACAAATATAAAAAGGAAAAATATAATATATATTTTTTTAGTACAACACGTGGGGTGGGGATCGAACTCTCAACTTCTTCGTTGTAAATATATGCTAATTAGCTACGCGTTTTGACAAAAATATAATAATTAATATAAAAGGGTTTCCTGAATATATGATTTCAATTAAATAACTACCCTTTTACTTTATTACAAATAAAACAATTTGTTTTTTTCTTGAACACGTAAAACAATTTGTTAAACATACAGCGAAATTGACATTCATAAAACTACCGTACTTTTAAGAATATTGTATAAAATACATTAATTTCTTTTCAAACTAATCACCATCACGGAGGGGGTTTTTTTTTTCCTTTGCAGATATGCATTGGGTGGATACAGTGGAGATAGCTTCATCCCTACTGTCGAGGTATTTGACCCTCGTCGTGGTTCATGGACGATAACAGCGCCCATGAATGAACCGAGGGGCTACTCTGCTAATGCCGTGATTGGAGATACAATCTACGTTTTAGGTGGTACGAAAAACAAGGAATTTTCGGAAACGGTATGTCGTTTATAATTGTTGTTTCTGGCCCTATGGAACCAACCTTATTTCATGAATGAAAATGAATTTTCATTTTTACGCAAATCTTTCAACAGGTGGAGTGTTACAACGAGGAGCGAGGTTGGGAGTTGACCAACCTAAGGGCATTTGGCAAAAGATGTTTTTTCTCTGCCGTCGTCATGTAAGTTCAGAATTAGATGGTAGAGGAATATATGGGCGTTTTGGGACTAGTAAATAATGCACGTAAGAAAATTAAGAATTGTTACAGGTCATCGTTTAATGTGAATTTTTGTAAAAAGTTAGGTAGGTAGATGGCGGGAAATGCTTAATGGGTTTTTTGTTTGCAGCCTTCTAACTATCCCTTCTTTCTATGGTTACTCAAAACATATCCTTCGAATTTTAGTTTTGTGATAATATGGGGACAGTTTCATATTAATCGCATCATTATCTATCATATTGTATTATTTAATGGGTCTCAGATCACTTTATGGCGAAATGAAGGTTTTGCGAAGAGGAAGTATAGAGGCAGTGAAGTTTCGAAATTTAAAAATAAAAAACAAAAAATGTCAAACTCTTTTAGAAACGAAAATTTGTAACCAAAATTATCGAATAATAGATTATAATTTGGTTTTTTTAATTTATCTTTTCCTAAAAAAAGAAAAAAATCAGTGATAACAATTTTGTGTTTAGTTTACCTATATGTTTCTTTATTTTGCATCTACATTCTTAAAATTTGAAAACTAAAGAAACTAGTTTAAAAAAATTGTTCTAAAGTTTGACTAAAAAGTCAAATGTGTTTCTAAGAATTGATAAAAACATACTAAAGAAATTGTTTCATTTCTTTTTTTTAATTATGATGGTTTATTCACAATCTCTTTATTATATTTTACCCATTCTTAGAAACAAGTTCAGATTCTTAATTTAGAAATTGGTATTCATCTCTCAAGACCCCACATTTTCTTCCAGACACTGCATAATAACATTGTCTTTCTCCAACTTACTTCTCTCTCTATAACCACCTTTACTCCCTTCCAAATCTCATATATAAATCTCTTCACCTTTCTTAAACCAGGCGAATATTTCTCTATCTAAATGTTTCTCTATAACTTTTCTTTCCTTCCATCTCTTTCTAACTTTTGAAAAAAAAAATAAAAAAACAGAAAACATAAATTGCTATCATACAGACATGCTTTGCTTCTCTAATTCTTAGAAGGAAAAAAAGGTTCGAAAGATGCTTGATTTTTGCTTTTAAAATGCAAAGTAGAAAAATTAAAAACAAAAATTGGTCATCCAAAAAGCATTCGTAGGTTGATTAGATCTTTATTGTAATAAAACCCAAAAACCTACACAAAGTACGTATCAGCAATTAAGCCCCCATTGTGTAACCACATTTTTAGTAGAGACAGTACGCGAAAAGAATAATTGAAACCAGAAATCTGCAAACCTTGATCATCACTTGATTCCATGGAATGCTGGCAAGATAGCAATGAGGGGGTCCCCGTAGCCAACAGCTTCTGCAAACCAGAAATAAAATTAAGAGGAACTCTCTCAATAAACTCCAAGGTTGAAACTTGTTTGAGATTTAGAGGAATTTCGCAAGTCTAGGAATGTCATGTAACACTTTTTAACTGCCAGGATACATAGAATAAACATACCTCCTTCCCTGAAGAGAATCTGCAATACTTCTCCAGCCACGTCTGTCTGCACGACAACGAATTGAGGGTGAAAATTAGTATTAATGGATGCCATAGAGGTTTGGCCCAAACAATATTGCATTGGAAGGTTCACATATACCTTTACAGGAAGTTGAGTGCCAAACTGTTCCACATATCCAATTACTTGTCCTTCCTTTATTACGTCATTCTGTGCATGGAAGAAGCCACCAAAATGACTTAAATGACCAAACCATGAACTATGTGAATTGCTCAAAATGACTTAAAATGTAAAACTAAAATTGGGAAAGAATTTGAAAAGTCGTAAACATGTTATCATGAATTTTAGATAGTAAGAACTTAATTTCTAGCTTTATTATGAAGGTGGTTTGATGATTCATGCATCCCGTCAATTACACGTTTCATATGAACTGAGAAATCAGAAAATATAGTGCTAGTTTGAGATAGTAAGAACTTATTTACTGGCTTTATTATGAAGGTGGGTTAATGATTCATGCATCGACCGTCGTTTCATATGAACTGAGAAATCGGAAAATGCAGTTCTAGTTGCAGCAGCTCTAATAATTCGTTGACCTTCAAATCACAATTTTTTTATCAGTAGCACAAACAATCCCAGCTGAAACCGATTCACGCTTCCCCCCTCACCCGGATTTATATGTATCAAGAATAAATTGGCATGGCTATTTCAGTCAGTTTGATTTTCCTTTTCTCCCAAAGTATAGGAAGATCCAGACTATCTAAGGTTTAAATAAAGTGGCACGATCCTCTCCCCTAGATTCAATAATTTGACAGTTAAAAATGTTGTTGAAGATAAAAATTAGGCATGAAAGCAATACCTCTTTGCAGATAGGAGGCTGCTTCTTTCCTTTAACTGTCCTGCCCCTTCGGAATGTTCCGACCTAGTGAAAGGACAAGCAAAATTTGTGTTAAAATAATGCCAGGGTTTCTCAGATTTTCCTCTTCTTTCTTTTTAGATGAAGCATAACCGTACACATTAATGCATTACATACCGTAGGAGAAGATACTAGAATATATCCTTTTGATCCAGATGCCTCCAGAGCTGCTAGCTTTGATGACTTCTCAAAGGGAAAATTGGCGAAAGGAGTTTTTTTCTCTGGAGAAGATTTTGGAGGTGCAGGTGCAGTAGGAGCAGACTCAACCATGGGTTTAGATGGAATTGGTGGGGGTATTGTTGGAGAAATGGCAGACATGGGAGCTTTTACGACTCCAATATTACGCTTCAAATGCATTTCAAACTCTCCAACCTATAATAGATAACAGAAGACAAATCGATACAAGTAAAAAATGAATAAACTACATCTTTATGTCCCAGAAACTTAGTCCAAGAGAATTCAACCAATTCAAAATGCATCTGTTTTTTCATTGGTTGAACAACCATGTAATGTAAATGTCATTCTAAGAGTCTCTTGTACAGTGTTCTTTTCATTCTTTTTTTTAGATTGGTATACTGTAAGAGGGAATTGAAGAAGGAGCGATGCTGAGGAAGAAGAAGAAGACTCATCAACTCCGCTTCGCGTTCTTTTCATTCTTTTGAAAATTATGATATCAGGTGAAAGATAAACTGAAAAAACTCTTGGCACTGCATGGCTGTCTAAATATTTAAAAGCATTGTACTACACCTTTAGTTTTAGTTCAGCGATCTCTGTTTCATCACAGACCTCCAGTACCAATGCCTGATGATTTCAAACAGTAGATAAGTCAGTTTGATTTGGAATGATCGAATGTAATTGTTCAAAGACAATATTACTATTAAGAAACAAATTTTAAATGATATCATCAGATTTCAACTGCAACATTTAACTAACCAACTGCTGGAAAAGAATATTCGAACTTCACAAACTCTAAGAATGTCCTTCGGAAATTACTGACAAATACACTCAGCAAGAAAAAGAAAACCCTTTTTTGATATAATGGGCATAATTCCAAGGCCTTTTCCATTCAGCAGATGGCCACGACACTCTAATTCAGTACCATATTGCAAGGTTCATCACATGTGTATATAAACCATGAAGGAGAAGTGCATAACATATGAATTTCAGCAAGTTTCTTGTCATTATAGTTTCAGATGAAGTTCTACTGGTTACTAATGGAAACCCAATGAAAACTGTCTGCTATTCATTAGGAAAAAAACGGGAACACAAGATTAAATTTGAACTCACTTCAAATCCATTAGGAAATGTTGCATTTGTTGCAGGCTTCTTCTGTACTGAACTTTGGAGTACGCTATCTGTTGATATCAAGTTGAAGGTTTAAAAGCCAATAAAGAATCTACCTGAATAGTTGATCAATGCCTATATATGTTTTCAGTGCAAAATATACAGAACCTTCAATAGTTGTAGTTAAAAGAAGAATAGTAAAATTACAACTAAAAGACCAAGATGTTCACCAAGGATGAAACACATGATTTACTATTAAAGTCATCTTCAGTAAGGGTATGGTTTCATTCTACTTAAGTAGGAGTTCGTCCTTAGCACTTGGTGCGTTTGACATACCTGACAAAGAAGTATATGAATATTTAGTAAGGCCAGGTTAATTTTGGAGGGGCAATTTTGTATTTGCCTGCATGGATTTCTTAGAATGAGACCGAGCCCTAGAATAAGGAGCTAGTTAGAGACAGAGAATTCTGTACAAGAGGGGAGGGAAGTGACAAGGGTTGTTAGGGAGAATCTAGTCTTGGATGGGGGAGACAGCATGACTTCAATTTCCTGCCTATAATTGTTCTTAAAACCAGTTTATACCTCTAGTTTTTTCCTTAATGCAATAGAAATATGGACGCTATTTTACCCAACTGAGCCTAACGGTATAAGTTTATAAACTAACGAATAGGATGCATATGATTAAACAAATTGCCACACCAGTATCTAGCATTAGAAAGCATAATATTTGCAGGAAAACTTATTGATCCATGTTGTAGAAATTAAGATTTAGTCTATTTTTGGCACCTAAACTACACAAGTTACAAACAACATTTAGCCCAAACCTTATTGTGATAAATTAACTATAATGGATAAGAACAGCTAGCGCCTGTCAAGTCAGAGGAAGAACAGAATTTACTCACAGAACACAACCATAATGAAACTTCAACTACAATAAATCTTACCACTGGGTTTTGCAGTTTCAGTAACTTCAGGCGTCTTTGTGCACAATACCACTGTTCTCTTCTGGTTTGTTGGAGTATGGGCGGGCTTACCAAAAACTGATAGTCCTTGAATGCACGACGTATTAACATTAGACACAGAAATTTTACAAGGTTTCTCAATTAACTGGAGACGTGAACCACCTGCCAAATCTGGAATCACACAGAATAGTATGCTCGTTATAGAAACTCATGGTGAGCTGTTCCTTAAGCTAATCTTTGACCAAGAAAATGAAAACAAATAAATAAAATAAAAAACAGAAAAATGAAGAGAAATAATAGAAGTTCGATGAAATTCCAAAGATATTGTGCGCTTATCTATAGGTTATATATCCCGGCAACAAAGAGTGACGATGAAAGCGGCAATCATTAATGGTTTCTTTTAAAAAAAATTAATCCAGGAACCGTGAGAATGTTATAATTTCAACAACCTCATTAAATTGTAACACGTAAACTTTTCTTTTGAATCTTTCGTCCTCAGGTTGTTGACAATCATAGGCCGAAAGCAAACATTATCTCTATATACACAAAACTAAATTGCAAATTAAGGTATGCTTCCTGCTACCATACCAAGGCTTCCGAAAGAGAATACAAGAAAGGCGCATCCTCCTCTTGAAATAATCACAAAGAATTTCGTTTAGAACACTAACAATCACACGCAATGAGCAAACAAGCCTACACTAAGAACTCCGGTTCCACGTTGATAACCGTAGCTCAAAATAACTAAATAGTCAAACGAATCGCACACCAGATCCGGAAAGTTTAAGCTACATTCTATCGCCGAAATGCGAGTTCACGGAAGGAGGAGCTCGGCTCACTCATAGTTCAACATTGCAACTACGAAATAATGCACTTACGTTTCAAACAATCTGCTCAATCAACATTTTCAATCGGCGTTCGATTTAACATCAAACAAGAACAAGTTCGCGACAGTCACCAAAAGCCTAAATCATTACGCAACGAAACCAGAGCACTGAAATAAACTTAAATTACATACAAGCAGAGAGATAGAGATAGAGATAGAGAAGGAGAGAGAGAGTTACAGTGAAAGGAGCGAAGCGTAGCGGAGGACTCCATGGAAGAGGTCAAGAAGCGAGCTCGAAGGCAGCGGAGGAGAGGAAAGAAAGTTGAGCAAAAAAAGAGCTGCGAAGTTGTGTGGAGGCAAAATCGAGGGAGAGAGAAGAGAGAAAGGAGTTATAGTACTATCCAGTTGTGAGTTGTGATTCGTCACCGTTGGAAGATGTTATGCTTCGAAATTTCCGCCCATTCTCATTAGTTTCTCCGTGAAATGGTTTTAGCTCTCTGCTTCCTCCCCTAGCGTGGCTTTACGCTCATGTACTTGGGTTATGATCAGGTACCTGCAGTCCCACGGTTACTATTTATGTATCCGCAGGCCGCAACTAAGATCCAATTGGGCCTGTCCCGTGTTTCCAAAGCCCATTTTCAATTACTGGGCTCCCAACGAAACGATATCAAGTCCAAAAATTTTGATTTTTTTTACCGAATTAGTTAATTAATTGATTTTATTAAAATCAACAAAATTTATTCAAATTGAATCAACTAACAATTTCTAGTTTTGTAGTTTACGAAACATCTATTTGTTTGGTCTCCTCTAGTATGTTACATATTTTATATGTTTCTTTTTGTATAAATCTTTCTCTTATAGAATTTTCAGAATTCTTTTTTATAATTCAAAATTGATGTCGCGTAGTTTACGTAAGAAGTTTTCTATAATCGAGATATCTACAGCCACCCACCACATTACGAGACTTGTCTCCGAGTGGAGTAGGGGAAAGCTTTGACTACGTACCCCGCAAAGACTTGAATCAGGGAGGGTATCCCCACTCAACCACAAATCTACTGTACCACAACTATTGGTGGTAACCCTTTTAGATTTTTTTTTGGAGTCAAAGATTTTCTTTGAATTCTTCCGTCTAAAAAATAGTATTAAGGGCTAAAAATTTCTAGAAGTTGTTGGATATTTGTTTACCATTTTCAATATATTTCTAAAAAATTTAGTGGTGTATTGTATTTTAGCCGAAAAGATAAGCTTGTCTGCCATGGACCTTTTGTTTCTAAAAGGATCATCAAAAGGGGTCAAAACCAAGAGAGTTCACTTTTCGAGCATGATGTGAACCTCATTATTATATTAGTTTGAATGGTTATAATTTATCAATTAAGAGTAGATTGGGGTTTTGCACACGTCTTTCCCTCAAAGTGCTTGCCAAATGCATCTCATTTGTGATTTGAGGACTTCTGCTGATCTCCTTGGCAACATGATGTTCGAAACATGGGATTCTTTTCAAGCTTGACCATTACAAACACATATCCAATTCCAAAGTGAATGCCCTCGTTTCCCTTTTCCTTTTGGGACAAAACTATAACTATGATGGGATATAGAATTTTGGAGATCAAATTGAAATTGAAAATCTAAAATCCAACTAAAGCTTGCCAATTGTGTCATCATTAGTAGGCAGTAAAGGAAATGAAATTCATTAGTTAATTTGTAGCCACGATGAGTCCAAAGAGAGCCTAGATGCTTGGAGATGAAGAATGTTCAGCAAAGGTAGATATTTGCAGAATGTGGAGATCAACTTGTGAGGAAATGATTTTTTTTTTCTAGTTTCTATATATCATTATATTATTAATATATGTTGGGAAAAACCTTCCACCTAGCAAACAACTGAGAATTTTTTTTTAAAAAAGATAACAACAATAATTAATTTACCTGGGAAACTTCAATCCGAAATAAAAATCAAACCCAAGAAGGAAAATCCACCCTATGAACATATTACAATCACACAAAATTCACTCCCTACCTCAATTACAAAAAAAAAATAAAAATAAAAAAATAAAACTCTTTCAAAGCTTTATACCACTCACAAAATTAAAATTAGAACAACATATATACTCAATTAAATGTTTCCAATTGGGATTAATAAAACTTAAAGCGTAGTCAACTTTTATATATCATTTCGAGCATAATACATTACTGTAACTATTTTGAAATAGGAGATTAAATCATCAGATACTAGGATGGATAATAAATGTCTTGTCTACATAACTATGTTGGAATTAACAATATAGTTGGCCATTGAACAAAATTATGTGACTAAAAAGCAACCCCAAACATGGTTTAACAATACAAACTAAGTGATCTCCAATCCCTTTATTTTTATTGTTATTTTAGTACAATATCTGGGGCGAGAGATTTGAACTCACGGTTTTTGATTGTATATATGTACTTTAACCCGCTAAGCTAACCTCAGGTTGACTCCAACCCTTCATTAGAAAGTAAACTTGTAAACTCTTAGGATGATATTATTCCAAAGAGAGGAGCTGGCTTTGCAAGGCCAACGTTTTCTTAGATATGGTGTAAGATTGAGGACATTTTAGAGATAAAACAAACCAAAATAATCATCAAAGAGAAAATTAGAGATTTAAAGCAGTGGGGTTCTCAACTAACCATAACAACCAACGAAAATGAAGCTTTGTACAATCACAAAATCAAAAAACGTGGAGTAAAATAATTTTTAAAAAAAGTGAGAAAAAGAAAAGGAAGAAGGAAGAAGAAAGTGAAGTTGATTTGGAACACAAAAAGGCAGGAGGCAATTTCAACAAGTAACTTGGGAAGTTGGGTTTGTCCATTTCCAATCCTTTAACGACTTGTCGATGTGCTTAACAATTAATCTATTTTTTAATTTTTCAAAGTCAGTAACAAACTTTACCAAACTTTGGTTAATCCGATTGTCGTTCGCCAATCCATTTCTCAACCTTCCTGTTTCATCACCCCTTTGACTTGCTTCCTTTCAAAGACTCTAACGGTTGTCATTCCATTCACCCCATCACAATGCCTCAAAATTCCCAACCCAAAAAAAAAAAAAAAATTCAACTTTTTTTATATAAAATATTTATTTAAAGAAAAAATAAGTCAAAAGAGTCCTCCGAGACCATTGATATCCATTTCGTTTTCTTGTTTTTAAAAATTGTGTTTGTTTTTTCAAATTTTATTAGTAGAATTTTTTATCTCTTAAAAATATATTTGAATTTTTAGTAAATTTGAAAAATAAAAAATATTTTTGAAACTTGATTTTGAAAAAGGTATACTATATAACAAAATGAATAAACACATATTTGAAAGTAATACTTCTAAACTTAATTTATAAGAATATAAAATTAAAAACGAAATGGCTGGCATGAATTTGTGGGTTAATTTTACATATTATCAAATATATATGATTTTTCTTTCAAAAAAAACTCAGAATCTCTTCTTTTTCCTGCTTTTTATTTTCTTTTTTGGACGAAATTGAAACGTGGGGGTTGGATTATCAATTTCAGAAAAGCATTAGCTGATGGGAAACAGATTATTTTAGTGCATGAAAGTCAAAAAGCAAAATTAATTTTCCCTTAAATTGTAAGAAAAAATCCTAAATATTTCTAAACGAAAATGAAAAATGTTGGAAAATCAAGTGTTGCTATTTGATGTTGACACAAAAGATATAATTGCACACTGGGCTGTTCAGGAAAGGCTACGCCCGGGTTCGTTAAAGTAATTTGACTTTTGAAAATATTGATGGTGCCATTCCTTAAGATATGCCTTACAAAATAGGCTATTAATCTCATTGGCTTCTTTTTTTCTCTCTCGGAAAAAGTTTGTTAATTTTAGCGCCTATTTGGGTTCTCAAGTTAGTTGGTTTATATTTTACTCATTTAAAAAATAGTTTTAAATGGAGATAAAATCATTTTATTATTAATTAATATGAAAAAAATAATATGGGATATATTATTTTGGTGATCGTACGAGTTGACATCTTCTTTCTCTTTCTCTTTATTCTTTTCTTATTCCTTTATTCTTTTCTTCCTACTACAACCGTTGTGCCCGTGCCGTAGTCCTGACTAGTGCAATAGTTGTCTTGAAATCTCTTTCCTCCCTCTTCTTTCTCACCTTTCTTACATGGTTCTTCCGACGAATTTTGTCGATGTACAATCAACTTTTAAATTTTATGGACTAAAAGTATAACTTTTCTTTAAGGATTAAATAGATTTTTTTTTTCTTGACAGGGGATTAAGCAGATGTTAGTCTCAAACTTCAATTAAGAAAAGTGTATTTTGTCCTAATTTTATTTCCTACATTTAGATAAAATGACACATTGAAAATGAAATACCACATATAATATAATAGGCATTGATGTCAAATATATGTTACTATCATTCGCTATCTTGAACAAATTCAATTCCTTCATCTGTTCCGGGCACTTCTTGGTTACCTAATTCGAGACAGTTGTTTTTTTCTTTCTTTCTTTTAAAATGTTTGATGCAATTATTTTTCAATTGTTTGAAAACGAAAAGAATAATATATGATCTTTTTTTAATTTCTTTTTCCTGGTGGACGGTCCTTGAATCCAAATTGAAAACTGCATCCATTAATCAGAAGGGTTTATTTAGAAAGGTAGCTAATTCTGAATTTTCTTACCAAAGTAATAATAAATAAATAATAAGCGTCATCTTCCTAATAATAATAAACGAAGATAAAGTTTACGTGATAATTCATCATTAATTAATTCGGGTCATCCAACTAGAGGAGAAGTACTACATGAATGACCTGACACCATATCCCAATGAGAGAGGACTTGAGATCATGGTTAAAAGAAGATTTAAAATAATTAATAGTAACTATTTATACCAACATGTGGACCTTATTTTTTATAGTTCAATCACAAAGAATTTCAAAGTTAAGCGTACTTGACTTGGAAAACCTTAAATTAGATGACCTCAATTTTCTTAAGAAGCATGTGGTAAGCACAAAACATGTCTATAAGAATAGTCTTGATTCTTCCCAGCAAAAGCAACTCAAGTCAATGACAATCCAATTGTAGGTAAATGTTGAGGCAACTAAATATTAAATTTATATTTCAAATATTTTGTCTGAATCATGAGCTTATGGCCTATTATGTATATATTATGCATTGTGCATTCACATTTTTTTAAGATTATTCTTTTAAACTTCAAACGAATTTGGATTGCCCAATTGATAATTGATGATTAGTTATATGCTCACTCAATCCCTTAGCAATCTAAATAATTTCTCTCATACTGCAGTTTGATCATAAACCAAATCACTAATATTATTGTTTGGGTCCCATGGGCCAACTAATATAGCTGGTGAATTCACTACGTTACTTGATTTAAATGGATATGGTATTTATCTCTACCTTGCTATCTGAGTAGGCTGTTACTTTGTTGAGGGACTTGCTTCAAAAGGAGAAAACCTCAATTTATAAGTGTCTCGTGGAAAAATTTTTCTTGTGACCTAAATGGAGATGGTGACGAGGAATATGTTTCCACTTTGTCCCGGCCCTGTCCCTCCCCTCTCTGTCTATTTATTTATTTGTTATTGATCATTATATTTAAAAAAATGCTCTAAATTTTTATGCATGTGAAATTTACGAGATATTATTGTGATGTTATGTTTTGCGTTTATAAATAATAAGATATATTCTTAGAAAATTTAAGAGATTTTCAGGGAATCTTAATAAGAATTTAAATATTAAAATGAAATTCTATAAAGAATTAACATATAATTGGAAATTTCTTAGAAAACAATAACAAAGCAGTAAATAATTTTTCGTGAGAAACTCGATGCCCTATGTCTATCTTTGAACTAGCAAAATTTATTGGCAACTCTTGTGGCGATGGAGAATGAAATGGGGTCCCGCTAGTTTAAAAATTACAGAGGAAAAGATTTGAAGTTGGTAGAAGAAGGTCCCATGAGTAAAAGTAAGAGGGGAGGTTTTAATAGATTAAAAAAGGCATATGTTTTGTGATCATATATATGGGGATGGTGGGATCTTAGAAATATAATTAAAACGCGTCTGAAAAAATATGAAATCTAGAAGAAAACGGCCCCCATCCAAATCATGTATTTCCCGATACGAATTGCAACTTTATAAAATAATAAAAGAAAAAAGTAATATCGACTTTTAAAGTTTAAACCCAAAGTTTACATTTTCTTTTTCTCTCTCTTTTCCCTGTGGCGTTTGTTGTTTTCCGTTACATACTATTCATGCATGTTCTCGAATCTCATAAAGAAAAAAAAAAAAAAAGGTTTGCAGACTAATTCAAGTTGTACACAAAAATTCAAAATTTTAATGTCTATACAAATGTCAAGATCTCAATTTCATGTAAATATCGACGATGTTTATACATATTTCTGTAAAATTTAGAGAAATCGTAAAAAATATTTAAATTAATAAATAAATATTTTTCTATTTTTAAATAAATTAAAAATGATTAATACTAATATTATGTATATATTAGTGACATCTTGATTTTTTTGTAATACGATAGAAATGTCGATTATAGACGGATCAACAAAGTTCAATAGGATGGTTGTACAGAATATTATTATTATTATTATTTTATATTGAAACTATACAAACACTATTATTAAACCAAAAAGTAGGGGGAGGGCACGCATGAAATTTTACCTTCCAACATAATGTCAACAAAGGCAGAGGTTAAAATGAATGAGACGTGGTTGTATTGATGGGCATGGAGTGCTCTTGTCCATCCAACATCAATTTCTCTTTATATTATATGATTTTTTTTCCTTTCATCTTTTAGGTTCAATTCAATTTTCCAATCATCTCTAGTCTACATGTGTATGTGTCATGTGTGTGTTTCAATTTTACTCCAAATATATTAATTGTATATATGTCGTTTGTTAAAAAAAAATAAATAAAAGGAGAAATTATTAATGTCTTAATCAATTGTCAAAGCGATCATAGCTTAATGACGATAGACATATATCTCCACATAAGATTGTGAGTTCATCCCCCATCCTCACACGTTGCACTAAAAAAATGTCTTAATCAATAGTACGATATCTAAATTGATCATATTAGAACATAATGCTACGAATATATTAAAAAAAGTTAAATATATCATAGCTCATCAATTATACTTTTTGAGTTTAGTAATAGTTTAACATGATATATTAATAAAAATTAGAATATATTTTGTATTCATTTTTTTTTAATGTAGATAATTTAAAAAAATAGACTGTTCAAAAAAAAAAAGAGCAGAAGCTACCTTCAAAGTTTTAACCTTAAAAATTTATTATCTCAACAAGTTCAACTATATACTCAAATTAAGTTTGTATTCAAATCTCGCAATATCATTTCTTTCTCCAATTTATTATTGATACCACTTAAGCCTAGTTAAAACTGACGGATTAGTGGTAGCTCAACATTTAGTGATTAGATGTTGTTTTTTTTTTTTTTTACCAATGTACGTATCGGTGGATTAAAAAGATGAATGTGTAATAATTAATGGTCAAAAATTCATTTTTCTGACTAGATCAGCCAGATATATGTACATAGCATTCATTTCAGTTTGTGATGATGGAAAATAAAGAATTCAACCCTCTCAATATTATGCTTGCCCCCTTTTCTTTTAAAAATTTGCACTTTAGACATACAATTAGTGCCAAAAAAACGCAAAACGACATCAGAAAAAAAGGAAAAAAAAAGCACACTGGCCTATTTTTGAATAAATTGAATGCCAAAATCTCCCATAATTATTGATTATGTTTGTTGAAATTCAACCGCAAAACCCAAGACTTGTGAAACAAGCGTTTCAATATGAAATCATGCTCTCAAACACACAAAGTTTTTAATTCAATAGGCCAGTGGGTGTAACAACTTTCAATTATGTTGAACTAAGTATTTTCCCCATCCTCCTTAATCTGACCCTTTTTTTTTCTTTTTTTCTTTTTGTCCAATATATCAATACCTAATCTGCCAAACTCAAACAACTCTCTCTCTTTCTTCTCCTCTATATTTTTTTCCTATATAAACTCAACTCCTCAAGCTTCTCTTCGTATCCATCGCTGCCTTATTGTTTTACATAATTCCTCAAAGTTTAAACAAAAACAATATTGTTTCGCTAATCAGCCATGTCAACGGCGTCTTTCAGTGCCACTCTATCTCTTTACTTGTTTGGCGTTTTGCTTCTGTTTGCTTCGGCTGTGTGCTTGGCCCACCCACAAACTCACCGCCATCAGTTTGTTGTATGTTTTTTTTTTTTTTTATAAATATTATTGGCTAATTTTAATTTGCTAGTTTTCTTTTATTAATGGGTTGATTGCATTCAAAATGGAACTAACTGCAGATTCAAGCTACGCCAGTGAAGAGGCTGTGCAAAACCCACAATGCCATTACGGTCAACGGGCAGTTCCCCGGGCCGACCTTGGAGATCAGCAATGGCGACACTCTCACAGTCACTGTCATTAACAAGGCCAAGTACAACGTCACAATTCACTGGTAATTAATTAACATTTCTAATATTTAGACTCTTTTTTTTTCCCTTTTATTTGTGATTTGAATGTTGATTATATTTTTCTAAGATAAAAGAGTGTTATTTCTTATTGGACTTGCAGGCATGGAATCAGGCAGTTTAGAACCGGGTGGGCTGATGGACCCGAGTTTGTGACTCAATGCCCAATCAGACCGGGAGGAAGCTATACTTACCGGTAGATAATTTACCATTAAATTCTAAAACTTAATCTAATAATATTTAATTAAGTCTATAAGATTATAGAAAATTTAATATTTTTAATAAATTTGTAATGCAGATTTACTGTGCAAGGACAAGAAGGAACTTTGTGGTGGCATGCTCACAGCTCATGGCTTCGAGCCACGGTTTACGGTGCCTTAATCATCCGCCCCAGAGAGGGAGATTCCTACCCTTTCACCAAACCAAACCGCGAAACAACACTTCTTATGGGTAATCATAATAATAATAAAATCACATTACATTATACGATTAATAATCACACACTAAAAATACAAACATTATTACAAGTTTTAATTATTATTATTATTTTTTTTTGGTAATTATTAGGCGAATGGTGGGATGCGAATCCTATTGACGTTGTGAGGGAGGCCACTAGAACAGGAGCGGCTCCCAATATCTCTGATGCATACACATTCAATGGTCAACCGGGTGACCTTTACAAGTGTTCTAGCAAAGGTAAATAAAAATTTGCGCCACAAATGGGAATTATGAAAATTAGAAAAACAAATATTGTAATTATGGGATGACATTTGTTTTGTGTGATTAATTATGCAGATACCGTAAT